ATATTTGATCAGTTTTGTAGTTATATTGTGGTCACTATGAATTTCAACCGGGAAACATATTTTGAGTGTTTTGAAATTTAAACTACTCCATGTCTCTTGTCTATAAATGAATGGATACCAAAACACTTACTAGGTTTGTTTCATACCTTTTAGGTTTTGAAATATGATACTTTTCATGAGATGGCATACCCTATGTTGGTGATGTATTTATATATACTGAACCATAATGAGTATTAATATACACTTGTTGTACCATTTGCAAATGGAATTCTTTTATATATATGTCCACCGATATAACAAGTTGGTGACACTCTTAATATACACATGCCTATTGGGTTAAGCACAAAACACGATTCTAGATTGAAATAGCAAGATCTCTCTATTCTAAAATTGAGGAATTAATGTTTGCCATATGTCTTCTCTTTGTCTCACTAGTAAAATTGAGGGATTAATTTGTAGTTCGTTTGAATTGTATAAGATCTCTCTATTCTAATAGAATAATCAATGTCGCTGTATGTCTTCTCCTAGTCTCATTTAACCTAAAAATTAAATTACCAACTTACTATTATCTTCCTAATTAATGGGGATATATTATAATAATATACCTCAAATTGAAGAGATGGTTGTGGTATTCAATTTAAAATCCCTAATATTTTGCCCTTTTCCATATAAGATTTAATTTTGAATCATGTTTTTAATATAATGTAATTAATGCATTAATTATTAGAAATTGTATCTTATTATTTAAAATGATCAATGAAATAAATATCTTTTTTTTATCGACTTAGGGTTAATTTTATAAAAGACCTTACATTTTGTGTTTTTTTCCAGATTAAACCTCAACTTTTTTTTTCATAAAAAAAACCTTGTATTTTTTCCATTTTTACCACTCTTGGCCCTTATTTTTCTCTAAAAAAATTGTAAAATGTAAGGATTTTTTCGAAAAAGAAAACTAAAAAAATTGAGAATATTTTTGAAAACATTTAGAAGGTTGAGGGGTTTTTTTTTTGAGAAAAAGACAGTTGAGGGTTTTTCAGGAAAAAATGAAATATATATATATATATATATATATATATATATATATATATATATATATATATATATATAAGGTTTTTTCATTAAAAAAATAAAGATGAGGTTTAATCCGGAAAAAACACAAAATATAAAATATTTTATAAGATTAACCCATCAATTTACTATTAGATAACCACTTCATACAATCATGAATAATTTGGAGAGTTAATTAATTAAAATAAATCCAATCTTTAGAATACATAAGAAAATAGATAAAATTATATATATATATATATATATATATTATGAGGTGGGAGAAACTTAATTGAAAATGTGTGACCAATTGAAAATGAATTCATGGTTTTATGTCTTCCATAAAAAGGTATTCAAATTTAAAATGTAAATATAATCAAAACTGGGTAGGCAATTATTTTAATTTTTTTTATTTTCAAGAACATTGTTAGAAAAAAAAACAAAAGACTTGACATGAATTTATAATTGGATAGATTTGTTATACTACATTGTTATAAATGGAAAGAAATGAAAATAAAAAACTATAAAAATAAAATAAAATTTGATCTATTGATTTATATTCGTGATTTTTTGTATGTATTCATGATTTTTTGTTTTGCAGATATACTTCTTTATTTAACATTACAATAATGCATGAATAGTACGGTTATAATACATATTTATACATAACATTATGGTTTGAATGTAAAAACATTGTATTTATAAAAAATATGGTTATATATATATATATATATATATATATATATATATATATATATATATATGTGTGTGTGTGTGTGTGTGTGTGTGGTTGTGTGTGTATGCGCATACGGTTGCAAATGTAAAAAAAAAATATTTATACGGTTTCAAATTGAACAAAAAAATGATGTCCGATTTGAAACAAAAAAATGAGGTTACGTCATCAAAACTGTACAAAATTGGAAAAAATGATAATCAATTTGGATAAAAAAAAAAAGTAGGTGTTAAAACAGAAAAAAAAATAAAAACATAGTGTTAGAATTGAAAAAAGTAAAAATTATGTGTCTTTTGTAACATTTTTTTCAATTTGACAAATCAACATAGCATGTCAATATGTTACGTCTTCAAAAAACTAACACATCATCATGTCACGTCAGTAGACAACACAATTTGACCGGTAAATTTGTCAGAATTGTAACTAATTATAAAACATTGTGTCAAATTTAAAATAAATAATAAATTATCAGATTAAAATTTTAATGTAAATTTAGTGGATTTTCTGTTATTTTCATTTTATTTATTTAATTCTTGGAAGAAGGTTTTGGGGATACGATAGCAGTAGGGACTCTATTTTAGGTTATAATCTATCTTTTAGTTTTCAGAAGGTAGAATGTTTTCTTTTTATTTGTGATCCTTCTATGAATCATTGTGTTTTTATTGTTTATAATTATTATGAAGATCTAATAGTAACTTCGAAAAATATAATTATTTCAACTATCTAACATTGTTTTTATTTTTTAAATTGTTTAACTTATTTTTAATTATTGTTATTTTTAGGTATTTTCAAAATTACATTTTTAAAAGTTATAATGTTTATCAAAAATAGTTTTTGGATAAATTTTAAGTTATTTTGGAAATACAATTTAAATTTTATATTTTACTGTAGGAATTCAAATTCCTTAAAAATGATGATGAATGTTAACATGTCATTTTCCTTCTTTTTCCCCTGCTAGAGAGCTCTAGCGATCGGGTGTGGGCAACGCCCCACCGACATGACACCAAGAAAACGGTGTTACCACGGCACAAACACCGCCCCCCTTCACCGTTTTTGTGCGTTACAGGTTTGCTGTTGTTTCCTGTTACCACCACAACCTCTGATAACGCCGTTTCCTTCTTAAATCATATAAAACGTCGGTGGGACGTTACCCACACCGGATAGCCTTATGCGTAAGTGCTCTTCGATCCTTGTCTTATTGACATTGCATTGATATTCCTAAAATGTAAATGGTTTTAAAGAAGAATGAAAGACGACAACCTCCGTCATTTATGGCTATGTTTCTAATAGTGTAAAAAGACGTTTGCATCTATCTTCTCATAGAAATAGTGCACACTAAAATATATTTTCAAGACGACATTGAAATATACGTTTTGAAGTTTTGATCAGCAAAATTATGTCAAGCATGATGTAATCACAAAAATTATGAGAAACAAATTCATTTAATTTGTTAGTTTTTTAATTAGACATCATATCTTAAAATTAATTATTTAAATAAAAATATTAATAAATATTAATATTTAAGTACAACTATATAGGGTTTTCATAGTATATAAAATATAAAAATATTAGTAAGTTATAATGGATAAGTCATTATTCGCTCGGTTTGTTATATAAATAACAAATCATCTTCCCCATAGGTGAATCGGAGGTACAGTAATCATAATTCTAAATATAAAATGTTATATAAATATCAAATTTCAAAAATTGGTGTAATTCATATTAAAAAAACTTAAATTATGTTTTATCTGTTTAAAAAAATCTAACCAACTTAACTTTTTGTCTAGAAAGACCCCACTAACTTACGATTTTATTCAATTCTCATTAGGACTAATGAAAGACAACGAATGACATGACTTATGACGTGCAGTTAAATATCGGAAAAATGACTTGTAAAACCAACGAAGTTTCGAAACCGTTCAAAAAAACTCAATCATTTTCGTCTATTAAAAAAAACCTAACAAACTCACGTATTTTTTTTTCAATTCTAATTAAAGGCAACCAGATTCATTAGGTATACAATTAGTTGGCAAATTACATGACATTATAGTTAATGATATGGAATAATCAGATTAGAATTGCCCTTTATATATCTTGATTTAGGGCTTGGAGAAGAGAAAAACGAACAGTGTCTATGTTCAATCTTTTGTATGGCTACTTCTTCTTCTTCCTCTCAATCGGTGATGTCTAACTCGAGATCTACAAAGAAGATATTTAATGATGCAAAACCTTGTAGATGTGGACGCCCTTCTTGGATTTGGACATTTAGAATGGAGGATCATCGAAAGAAAATGTTCAAGGCTTGTTAGAATGGAAGCCCCTCTTCATATACGAGTAAAGCTATATATTAATTGTCTCTACAACTTGTATGACTACATTGACACTTCAAGACAACATATTGTCAAAGACAACATATACCGATAAACGGAGCCGAATAAACCGTAACCGAATTAACCAAAACCGATTAAACCGAACCTTATTTGGTTTGGTTCTGGTTAGTTTTAATATGCTAAAAAACCGAAAAAACCGAACCGATTAAACCGAACAAACCGACCAAATAACACCCTACTTTTCCAGCTTTTGTTGCTTTACTATCTCAATTTAACATTTTTTTGTTTACTTTACTTTCAAGCCTCCATAAAACTTAGTGCTATATCTTACATATGTTTAATCACATTAACATGCCATGAACTTATTTTTGTTTTCTTTTTGAACCAATCCGCTCTCAAAGTATCTACAAACCCTTTTCCTAGTAAGTTGTCACAAGTGTAAATTACAATTATCATGAAAACCTATTGTTATACCATGATTTGGCTTATAAAATTCTACAGAGCACATTCTTTTGGGTATTTGTGAGTGTGATCTAATGGTTTGCCAGCCATGTTGAAAGTGCATTAATTTATCTAGGTATGTTGCATCACATAAGCTCATAAAATAAGAAGCACCTATAAAGGAAATCAAAAAACTATGATATAAAAGCGCCTTAGAATCCCCAAAGACCAACATTCTTTAATTGTTTGTTCTTGTAAACACAGAAAGCAAATAAGGAATCCAGAAGCCCCAAATTTGGGCATCCCAAGAAACATGTATAAAGTTGACATAGACAGACATATTATCAAATAAAATACCATAACTCCATGACCCAAACCCAAACCCATATAATTAAGCTCCAAAACAACTGAATGAGTGGTGGAAATATTTGTTGGAATGCTACAAAGTCTTATAGTTCACAATCACAAACAAAGTGAACGTGGGATTTCCAATATTGGGCTGCTGAAGCCAAACCATAAAAGAGTAGACCAGCGATATTCATAGATAGAGGGTGGGTTTTGAAAGGAAATTCAGATCCTTGCGACTTCATTTCTGCAAAAACAGCTAAACAGATGATAATAAACTTAAATGGGGATGGGATGGGAGCATGATTACCCCAAATATTCACAGGTAATACTCCATCCACAGGCGACTGAGACTTTTCAACAAAAAATGGTATGGCGAAAATGAGTGTTCCATGGTAGACTTCTGGGGGTGGTTGTGGTTCTATCTCCACCACCACAACTGGATTATCAATGGCTGAAGGCATGACTCTTTTCGGGTGGAGACAGAATTGTTGAAATTTTTGAAAACGAAATGACCTGGTCAATGTTGATGGTTTGATTCTTCCTTTCGAAATTTTTTATATGGGTCAATCTGCTTCTGTGTTGGTTTCCTGGAACTTTCGCTTACGCTAAACACACACGATATGAATAAAAAAGTATTTTAGCATTTTTAAACATAAAGAAAAACAAAAAAACTAACTATTTGCTCCAAGTCTCCATCCTTTCATTTTAAAAAGGATTGAGACACGTGTTGTATCTTATTATTATACTATAAAAGGTCGACTAAAGGTTTACGAATTTAGTCTTGGCTAATTATCTTTTTACGAACATGATGTGTGCGGTTTCCAAAACTTGAATGAACGGTCATTTTTGCTAACACAGTTAGTTTTGGTCGGTTAGTATGAAGGTAATTTGGTCTTTTCAGGTTGCAGAAATTGAGTTTGTGATTATAAATAACCATAAGGACCATTTATGTAATTTTGTCTACGTTTTATGTTTAGAAGTTTGTAGCTTTTCTACCACTTTACTTTTTAAAATATCATTTTGACTTCTTTATTTTGAACTTTATAAAATATTATTTTCACATTTTTATTTCTAAACTTTCGTATTTACCCACTGTAGTTTATATAATTTGATTTTCGTTCGTTAACCTAAAAAAACTATTTTTACGTGCTTATTTTTATATAAATGTCGGTATAAATTCAAAATGATCAAAGTTTCAACGTGAATTTAGAACTTCCGTTTCGTTAATTTCTTTTTTAAAAATTACTTGTTTTGTATGCACGTATCGATATAAATTCGGGTTTGTCTATGTTTCGACGTATTTTTTTTATGTTTTTGTGCTAAGTTTTATATATGTTTCCTACGTATGAGTCGGGTCATATATAATAACTTTCGTTCGTCAACTTAAAAAAAAACATATTATATTCAAGTTTGTCTATGTTTCGTCGTAATCTTTTTTTACTTTTTTGTGTTTAATTTTATATATGTTTCCTATGAGCCGCGTCACATATAATATTTTAGTTCGTTAACTTTTAAAAAAAAACTAATTTGTTTACTTAATTTTAAGTCGAAACGTTTACTACTTTGAATTAATACCGACATGTACATAAAAATAAGAAAATAAATTTTTTTATTTAACGAACAAAAGTTATTATATGTGACTCGACTATTACGTAGGAAATATATATAACATTGAGCACAAAAACATCAAAAAAAAAATAATTATGTTGAAACATAGACAAACTCGAATATAATACGCTTTTTTAAGTTAACAAACAAAAGTTATTATATATGACACGACTCATACGTAGGAAAAGTAATAAAATTAAACACGGAAACGTAAAAGAAATTATGTTGAAACGTAGACAAACTCGAATTTAAACTGACACAAGCATAAAAAAACAAGTAATTTATACATACACATACATAAAAATAAACACGTAAAAAAATACGTCGAAACATAGACAAACTTAAATATAATACGTTTTTTTTAAGTTGACAAATCAAATTTAGTTATATATATATATATATATATATATATATATATATATATATATATATATATATATATATATAACCCGACTCATACGTAAGAAATATATATAAAATTAAGCACGAAAAAAATACGTTGAACTTGCATATTATTGTGCCTGAACTAATATTGTTCTTGTGATTCGGATTTATGGGTTGTTTGATGCATTAGGGCTTTTCATTTTAATGCATCGTTACCCTCTTTGTTACTACAACCTATTTTTGGTTGCTACAGTTAATAGTCCCTACACGAAGACAAAGTTTCCCATGTTGGAATCTGAATTTTCCTTCTCGATTTTGAATCCTCTAGCCTTCTTGATGGTTCCAGTTTGACCATTGTTTTTCTAATCTCCATAATGAACTAAAATGGTTGAATTCCCCCCATTTGAACTACTTATTGTACGCCTTTTCTTGGAGCACTAGCTGTATATGAGGACCTATTACTTTGGCCTTCATGTTTCCTGAGTCTACCTTAGTTGCAAGAACAAAATGATCACCCAATCCAAAATCACTGTGAAGGACGAATTACCATTAACATTCACCATAGAATTCCCAACCCGTGAATCAGTCAAATCACCATTATTTCTACCATCTATGTTACCACCTGGATTTTTAACAAGTTCGCTAGGCATCCTCCGCCATTTTCTCAATCCATGCTTATTTACAGATGGGGAAGACGATCCATTAGACGAATCATTAACATCTTTAACGTGACACACACCATTACATTTTAACGTAAGTTCAATTTCACCGACATTTTCCGATACTTCAGGGGATATCGACTCATTATCACACATTGGTTTTTGCACAGAAAACTTACTTAATTTTAACGTTTGTATATAAATGGCAGATACAACAAAAACGATCCAAAGGTAACACTAGAGATCAAGATCGATAGTAAACAACCATTCCGGCTATAGCAAAACATCTAAGCGAAACTAAATACAAATTTCCAATTAGTTATTAATTGAATTCAAATAAATGTCAATTGCTTAAGCTTTCACTTCCAAAAAGACGTCGACTCAATTTTTTTGAGAAATTAAATAGTGAAGATAAACTGTGAATTAAAATGTGGAAGACTTCAACATACCTTAGGTATGTTGATTTTTTCGAAGGGAAAATGTTTTAAGTTTGCAGACCACCTCTGCAACCCTCTGTAGCAGAAGAGGTGGAACAAACGGCTGCAACATTTAATAAAAAGTATGTTTGTTTTTAACGTCTGCAGACTATTGCAGTAAGTTAAAGTAAGGCGTGAAGAGGTTTGAAGCATTTGGTTTAGTGTTGCGCCACGTAGTACACGCGCAGCAGTTTTTAAGTTATAAGTCTTTTGAAAAACAAACAGTTGTGAATGGCCAAGTGCTGCGCGTGTGCTGCGTGGCGCAGCAATAAGTTGTCTGACGTGGTTTTTTAGAAAAAACAAACAGCACCTTAGTTTCCATAATGAAGGAAGAAAACTTGAAATTAGGGAAAGTAATGCTCATTGAGCAAATTGGAAGAGCTAAAACCCTAGAAAAAAAATACAAAATATAACTGACTTTGTTAATGAAATAACAATGAATAGTTAAAGTTGAGTTTATTTTTGAAAAAAAAAATAGTTTTAGTTCTAAACCGAAAAAAAAATACAAAATATATGATCTTTTATTAAAAAAAATCAATTTATATGTTCATGACCTGTTGAGATCTGAAATAACAAGTAACCCTTAAATTTGTGTCTTTTTCGAAGAAAAAAAAGTTTTAGGTATAAAAAAATAATCAAAATATAGGGTCTTTTATGGAAATAGTTTTATTCATATTTTTAAAAAGAAAAAATAACTTATAACTAGTTTAAATTATAAATTATAAATTTTAGTGTGTAATGTTTTGTATATATACAAATATATCTTTAATACCATGTCATTTTTATCTAAATAATGATATAAATTTGTCTCAATCTGACATATATCAAAAAAATTGTATATTTTCGGTCTTAAAGTTCTTGTTTTTTTATATATTTATAAAGTACTGTTATATAGTATGTTTGCCCACATCATATTGTTAAAATATTAAGCTTCACAGACGTTCAAACCTACAAAATTACCCATTAAGCTCTACGAACGTTTGAACCCACAAAATTAGTGAAGTTTGATAGTCATTGGAGATCTAGAATACAAAGTACATGGCTTAAATGAGAAAAATACTCATTTTTTGGGTGACCTACACTTTGGTACGGGGAGAGCCAATCTGTAATAGAAACAACACAAACCGTGCAATGATCTGTGAAAGAAAAACTAAAATTCTCATGTCCTAGCATCCAACCTCCGATTTCCCACAAATTTTAAATATAAACTAATAGGATAGATATAAGCTTTTAGATGATGTCAATTGTCTCAAGAACCCTCTAGGGGTATTTTAGTCATTTAATAGTAAATTGTTGTTAATGATAATAGGTGGTGCTTAAGACATTTACGAGCTTAAAGGGAAGAAGAATAGCTTAAGTTCTATTAAGGTAAATAATACAGAATACATGACTCGTCAAAAATGAATTATGATGATTTCAAAATTTGAAATATTTAAAACCTTTCGAGTTATTTGATATATGTTTCATTATGTGTGCTTTGCATGAAAATGGTTTTATAATGAGTTGAATGATTTTAAGAGTTTTTATCTTGAATCCATATACATTCATGTAGGAGTGGGAAAATATTGGTTTGTCCCGCCAAGCCCATGGCAAACAAGACTAATTTTGATTCAACCTTCAAAGTATCTGATTCACAAGATCATTATCGAACATGCATCCTATTTGAAGATGGTCGTTGGCAAATGGCAATGTACTTCCAAGAAATGGTCAAAATGGTCAAAACGGTAACGTATTTTCAGAAATGGTCAAAATCCTAATATATGATAAGAGAAAAGATTGTAACAAAAATAATTAATCCGATACAAGATAAACCGTATACAAATAGAATAAAGTATTATATGTTTAACTTATGTAAATGAAAAATTGGATAGTTAGGTTAGGTTCAAACACACAAACTTAACATATCCGAAATCAAACATCAGATCCAATTCAACTACTTCAACTTATTAGCCTAGCCAGGAGAATCATGTATTTGATGAGAGTATAGAAGGTCAAAATAGTCAATCAGTTAGAAGTCAAAGTCAAATATAGATTCTAGAAGCTTAGCTTGGGTATAAATAAAGGGGTCTGATGTAATATAAGAGGCATTCTATCATTTTGTAATTGAACCCCAGATAGGGACAATGTGAAATCAGAAACAGAAACATTCATTCTTCATCAGTATTTATGGATAGATGCAATATTTTTCAATAATGTTAAGGATTTTCATGAACTTAACAATGAAAACTAGGAGAAGGGTAAAATCAGTAGTTTTCATTTCTAACACGTTTTTTGAAGGAATGAGATTCGTTGAATAACTCCTCATTCCTTTCCATGTGATCAACTAAACAGCCT